CCGGGGCGGGGGGCCCCCCCCCCCCGAGTGCACAAATTTTTGTGCACCAGGCCTCTAGTATATATATATATATATATACATATCCTTGTAATCTTAAAAAAAAATTTTAGGCTTTCTCTTTCACTCATGGATTATTTAGAAATATGTTATCTGGAAGTGTTTGGAGATTTTCCTGTTGCTTTTCTTTTATTGATTCATAGTTTGATTCCATTATTGTCTCATGTGAGGGCACAGTCCACAAAAGTCTTCCCTTATTTCTGACACCAACTGCAATTTCAGGAGTTTCCAAGACCACCCTTAGGTTTAATAATTCACTAGAACAGTGATGGCGAACCTATGACACGCGTGTCAGAGGTGACACGCGAACTCATTTTTTTTGGTTGATTTTTCTTTGTTAAATGGCATTTAAATATATAAAATAAATATCAAAAATATGTCTTTGTTTTACTATGGTTGCAAATATCAAAAATTTTCTATATGTGACACGGCACCAGAATTAAGTTAGGGTTTTTCAAAATGCTGACACGCTGAGCTCAAAGGTTCACCATCACTGCCTTAGAAAGACTCATAGACCTCATTGAAAGCTATCATATTCACAATTTAATACAGCAAAAAGATACACATTAAAATCAGCCAAGGGAAGAAGTACATAGGGCAGAGCCCAGGAAGGTTCTAAACACAGAACCTCCAGTATTCCTTTAACCCCAGAATCATAAACATTGTTAACTTTTCCTATCAACATGCATAACAATATGCATGGAGTATTGCCAAATATGGAAGCTCACCTGAGCCCTGATGTCAAGAACTTTTATTGTGGCTCCTGGATGCCAGCTGACTTTTAGTGTCCAACCTCCCAGGAGGTAGAACTGATACCTTAGTCTCTAGTCTCTTTAGAGGAGAATTGATGCCACATGGCTCAAAGCATCATAAATTCCACTGTTAGACTCTCTGGTGGCTGTGGTCTCCAGGTAACAAAGACTCTGTAGAGATCACCTCCCTGGAGATGAATACAAAAGCCAGAGCTCTCTTTGGTTAAGGTTAAGTTCTTTACTATATATATCACAAGAACATACTTTATATGAGTTTGTTTTAAATTTAAAATTTGCTTCATGACCTAGAATATGGTCTATTTGAGAAATGTTCAATGTGTACCTGAAAACACTGTGTATTCACTGTTGTTGGGTGGCATGCTCCATAAATGCTGGTAACATCCTATTGGTCGATGGTCCCATTCAGTTCTTCAATATCCCTGCTGATTGTCAGTCAGGTAGTTCCATCAATTGCTGGGAGTAAGGTATTTGAGTCCCCAGATATAATTTTGATTTGTATATTTCTCCTTTAAGCTTATAATCAGGTTTTGCTTCTTGTATTTTGAAGTTCTGTTGGTGGTACTAATTTTCTTTACTCTGAAGTCTGATTTGATATTATTATAGCTATTTCTATTTTCTTTTATTACATTTGCTATTTATATATTTTACTATTTACATTTACTATTTATATATTTTTGCTTTCAACATACCTATATCATTATGTTTGACATGACATTTTTATAGTCACCATGTAATTGGGTCATGTTATTTATTTATTGTGCCAATCTCTGCCTCTCACCTGGTGGTTTAGACCATTTACATTTAAAATAATTATTGATATGTTAGGGCCATGGTCGGCAAACTGCGGCTCGTGAGCCACATGCGGCTCTTTGGCCCCTTGAGTGAGGCTCTTCCTAAGCCTTAGGAGTACCCTAATTAAGTTAATAACAATGTACCTACCTATATAGTTTAAGTTTAAAAAATGTGGCTCTCAAAAGAAATTTCAATCGTTGTACTGTTGATATTTGGCTCTGTTGACTAATGAGTTTGCCGACCACTGCCCTAGAGCATCATTCCTGACAAAATCAGAGCAGATTGCTCATGTTAACAAGAGTCAGTGCCATAGGAGGTAGATGGTGAGCTTTAGTGGGTCTCTTTCAGCTTTCCTGGACTATTCAGAAATACCCCAAAAGGCCTTGCCCTCTGCCTACTCTTAAAATGTACTTCATAACCTGAAATATTTGAAAAAGATCTTCTGGAGAGCTCAGATTGTACCTGCCTATATAGTTTAAGTTTAAAAAATTTGGCTCTCAAAAGAAATTTCAATCATTGTACTGTTGATATTTGGTTCTGTTGACTAATGAGTTTGCCGACCACTGTGTTAGGGTCATTTTATTTGTTCTTTGCTGCTTCCCTCTGTTTCTTTTTCTTCTTTCTTTTTCCTTACCTACTTGTAAGTTGATCAAACAATTTTAGAGTTCCATTTTGATTTATTTATAACTAGTGGCCCAGTGCACAAAATTCGTGCACGTTAAAAGGGGATTAATTAGAGGAAATATTTTAATATTGCTATTTGCCCTTTCTCTATAATAGAAGTGTAAGAGATGAAAGAAAATTAATAAAATTTATATGAAAATCTTCCACCTGTCAGAGTCTGGGGCATGCTACGGGACCCAGAGTCAAGTCCCTGCACACCCGCGGCAACTCAAAATCACGCAAGACCCAGACACAGCCAGCCCCACCCCCAGTGGGTGAGATCCAGACCCGGCTGGCCCCACCCTTGTCAAGCCCCACCAGGCAGGGGGTGCAGCCTCAGGTCCCCTGGCCCGGTGACAGGCAGGGGGCACAGCTTCAGGTCTCCCACAAGCCCCGCCGGGTTGGGGGGCACAGCCTCAGAGCCCCCATCAAGCCCTGCAGGGCAGGGGGTGCAGCCTGAGGTCCCCCAGCCTGGGCTGGGGGGCACACCTTGAGGTCCCCGTCATGCCCTGCCAGGTGGGGGGCATGGCCTCAGGTCCCCCAGCCTGGGCTGGGGCAGGGGGCGTGCCTTGAGGTCCTCCGTCAAGCCCCATGGGTGGGGGGCACAGCCTGAGGTCTGCCATCAAGCCATGTATGGCAGGGGGCACAGCTTCAGGTCCCCCGGCCTGGCACTGGGGTAGGGGGCATGGCCTGAGGTCCCCTGTCAAGCCCCATCAGGCGGGGGGCACAGCCTCAGGTCCCTGCTGATTGCTCATTAAGGCTCATTACTGGAACTCAGCCGCCTCCGCTGTGGGTGCAGCCATCTTGTGTTAAGGAATCCCTGCCTCTGCTGTGGGTGCAGCCATCTTGTGTTACGGAATCCCTGCCTCCGCTGTGGGCGCAGCCATATTGACCATTACGGTGTGATGGTCAATTTGCACATTCCCTCTTTATTAGATAAGTTGCTTTTAAAAAAATATATTTTACTGATTTTTTACAGAGATGAAGGGAGAGGGATAGAGAGTTAGAAACATCGATGAGAGAGAAACATCAATCAGCTGCCTCCTGCACAGCCCCCACTGGGGATGTGGCCGCAACCAAGGTACATGCCCTTGACCAGAATCAAACCTGGGACCCTTGAGTCCGCAGGCCGACGCTCTATCCACTGAGCCAAACTGGTTAGGGCTGGGTCTGGGTCTCGTGTAATTTTGAGGTGCAGCAGGTGTGCGGGGACTTGACTCTGGGTCCCGTAGCGTGCCTCAGATATGTAAATAGTAAACATATCAAATTTAATTCAAAAGATGTCACCATTTTGTAGCTCAGGAATTTGAGAAAGCCTTGGCTGAGCAGTTATTGATTGGGGTCTGTCATGTGGTTCCGGGTGGGTGCCAGTGGGCTCCAGTCATCTGAAGAGTTGGGTGATCACTTGGAACTTAGCTGGGGCTAATGACCAGGGTGACTACACGAAGACTCTAGCATTATGCTCTCAGTATGGGTGGACTTCTTTGATGGAAACTCCATTTCTCAGAGTTAAGAGTTAAAAGCCTCATCTGGTCTCCTTTTAAATTTCCTCTTTAGTATGAATTGTTGTATAAGGAGTAAGATATGGCTAAAGTCATTCTTACAATAATTTCATTTGATAAGTTCTCATCTAATGTAACTTTCTGGTGTTGTGTAAGATTTGACCTATGGCTAACTTTCATATTCATCATTTTTATATGACCAGTAAGATATAGGCCATAGGTAAAGATTATGACCTACACCCTTCATTTTATTCATAGGGATTTTATCCAGTTAGAATTCTCTAATGTTAAGCAAAGAAGATGCTAGGTGCCTCCCTTTCTCTAGTATAACTTTCTGAATTCATATAAGGCATTATTGTGGCTAAAGGTAATCTCACATTTATTACATTTGTCTGCTGTTATATTAAGATTTAGACTATGGTTAAAGTCTTTGTACATGCATTATATTCAGATTCCCAGTTTTTACAACATTCATAGTGTCCCTCTACTATGAATTCTCTGACTTGAACCATTACCATACTGATAATATTCAGTTTTTTCTCTTCAGAACAAATTATCTCATACTGTGAAAGTGCTGAGTTGTTTGGTAGTATCTACCAAAGCCACCAAATGTAGATATGCCTCAGGACCCAGAAATTCCACTCCTAAATATATACACGAGGGAAATAAATACATGTACATCTAAAGACTAATATATTCACAAAAGCATTACTTATTATGACCCTAAGCTGTAAACAAAGAAAAAGTCCACCAATAGATTGGATGTGTTGCGATATACTTATATAATGAATAATGAAATTCTATACAGAATAAAAATACATGAATTTCTGCCACATGCATTAATGATGAGGTTTTTTTGTTTGTTTTTTAAAATATATTTTATTGTTTTTTTTTACAGAGAGGAAGGGAGAGGGATAGAGAGTCAGAAACATTGATGAGAGAGAAACATCTATCAGCTGCCTCCTGCACACCCCCCACTAGGGATGTGCCCACAACCAAGGTACATGCCCTTGACTGGAATCGAACCTGGGACCCTTAGGTCCTCAGGCTGACGCTCCATCCACTGAGCCAAACCAGTTAGGGTGCTAATGATGAGTTTTAGAGACATAATAATGAATGAAAGCCAAATATGAAAAAATACATGATATATAATCCAATTTATATAAAAGTTAACAATAAGTAAAAACTATAATGTTAGAAGTTAGAACTTTGGTTAACTCTGAGGAGGTAACAGTTTTTATTCCATATTTGCAATGAGAAATACAATTCACACCTCCTTTCTTTTTAAGTCTTTTGTTCACAGTGTGGTTCACATACCAACTGTATATTACTGGTTCACAACAAGGTAGGTATTGAAATTAAAAATAAGTAATTTTAAATATGTGTAGCAACTTGACAGAGAAATTTTATATCTGATGAATGTAACAATAGAAAACTGGGGATTGTATTTTCAATGACTTTTGTCATTTAATTTGTCTAGTAATTATTTTGTGTGTATGTTTTATAGGCTAGCAAACAGTAAGTAAATATGTGATATAGTATCTTAAACTGTTGACTATTATTACACTTGCAAGCAACATCATATACTGGGTTTACTATGACTTTAAAAGTTTTTTACTAAAAAAAGAGTCACATCCTTTACTATATTCCAATGGTTTCTACCTTGTGAGTTTTCTGATGGACAATGAGATTTGACTTACAACTGAAGAACTTACCACATTCTTTACATTCATACAGTTTCTCTCCTATGTGAGTTTTCTGATGGCGAATGAGGTTTGACTTCCTACTAAAGGCTTTCCCACACTGAGGACATTGATTGGATTTCTCTCCTGTATGTATTCTCTGATGAACAGTGAGGATTGCCTTCTGGCGAAAGGACTTCCCACATTCATTACAACTATAGGGTTTCTCCCCTGTATGAATTCTTTGATGGAGAGTGAGGGTTGTCTTTTGGCAGAAGGACTTTCCACATTCATTACAAATATAGGGTTTCTCTCCTGTGTGAGTTCTTTGGTGTACAGTGAGGGTTGTCTTCTGGATAAATGCCTTCCCACATTCATTACATTGATATGGTTTCTCTCCTGTGTGAGTTCTCTGATGATCAATGAGGTATGACTTCTTTCTAAAAGCACTTCCACACTGAGTACAATCATAGGCTTTCTCCCCTGTATGTATTTTGTGATGCCTGGTGAGGGTTGCCTTCTGGCGGAAGGATTTCCCACAATCCATACAAATGTAGGGTTTCCCCTCTACATGTGTTTTCTCATGAAGAGTGAGGGCTGTCTTTTGACGGAAGGCTTTTCCACATTGACTACAAACATAAGGTTTCTCACCTGTGTGAATTCGCTGATGCTCAACGAGATATGACTTCCTTCTAAAGCTATTCCCACAATAAGAACAATGAAAGGGTTTCTCTTCTGTTTCAGATCTCTGATGTATAATAAAAATGGACTTCCTGCAGAGGAAATTCCCATATTTGCTATATGCATGGGACTTCTTCTCCATAAGATTTTGTGGATGGACACTGGAATTTGACTTTTCAATGAAAGGCGTTCCATCTTTATTGTATTCAAAGAGTCTTTCTCCTCTATGAGTTCTAGTATGTGTAAATAACATTTCTTTCACAAGGAAGGAATTTTCACATTCATTATGTTCAAATGATTGCTCTGGAGTTTGAATCTTCTGATGTTTAATAAGCTCTTGTTTATTACTCAGACTGCTTTCTGTTTGTTTATAGAGATTTTCTGCAGTATGAATTTTCTCATGCTTTGTATTGAGAAGTGATTTCTCCCATCCATTACCCTCACCAAACTTCTCTCTTACAGGGCTTATATTTCTAATGACTAATTCTGAAATATTTTTCAAAACCTTTCCATCAGGTTTATATTCATGTAGTTTTGTTTTTGAAATAATACAGTTCTTGCCTACAGTAAGTGTCTTCCCCAAAATATTATTTTTTTCCTTAATTAGTCTTTCATGGTTGATGAATACAACTGATCTAAAATGCCTATCTTGGTATTGTTTAAACTTCATTAAAACATCTTCAGCTTTCCCATCTTCTTCTAGAAAAGAATACAATAAACAGTGTAAGTCTTGATATAAATGTTATGAATTAGACGTATATACAATCTATTGTGCAACTGTCTGTCTCACTATTGTGATCTACAGAAAGGCCAAAATAAACTACCTCTTGGTAGACAAAATGCATGGAACTTAAACACAAATCCTGCTATACTGTTAAAATGAAGAATAATTGGCATAAGCAAAGAACACTCATATCTTTGACATATTGTAAATATAAGTTACATCAAGCAGGTCTAATTAATACAAGGGCAAGTAAGCAAAAGATGGTGAAAGTGGCATTATTCTTGGAATGGGCAGGTTTAGAGATGATGGAGTGAGCCTATCAAGAGTACTAACCAGTAAACAAGCAAAACTGTTCAGGTGGAGATGAAAGTGTATATACTTATTTCCTCATGCCTAAAAAGGTGTTATAAAGGTGTCATTTGCTATCTATAGCAAATGAACTTTATCAAGCACTCATTTCATTATTTTGAAAGAAACACTAATCTATATCTAGGCCCTAGCTCTCCATATAACTGATTTATTTTCTCTTGAAAGGGAAGAATTAGAAAAACATTTCATTAGGAATTATAAAATAAACCAGAGGACAAAGCATACTTTCAAATGAACATAAGCACTGATTGCTGCTATATCTATTTATTCTTCCAGGGGGATGGTCAATAACTAAATTCTACTGATCATCAATTCTAATTGTCCCTCCTTTCAATTTGCTGGAGTACTTTTTCAGTGTTAGAGAAAGATGGGTTCAAGTTTTCCTCCCAATGCAGTAACATGCCTTAAACTCTGCTATTCCCTATTGGGACTGTGAAGGACTAGATTCTTCAGTATATGTGTATAGCACTCATTGACCTTACCTATTATCCTATATAATAAAGAGCTAATATGCTAATTAGACCGACGGCAGAATGACTTTCCACAATGACCTTCCGGAACGACCAGTGATTGGGGGGCAGGGCCGCAGGGCCATGAGGCAGCAGGGGCTGCGAGGGCCTACTCTTGCACGAATTTTGTGCATCAGGCCTCTAGTTTTTCTTATAAATTCTTGGCAAATTTTACTACTGTTATCTTACTACAACCCACATCTGGTGGAGCAATTTTAAAGATGGGTTTATCTTACCCATAATTTGTACCTTATTTACAATAGCCCTAAACTGGAAACAGCCCAATTATCTATGAAAAGGTAAACAGGCAATATTGTATCATGTAATTATACAAGGTAATACTACTCAGCAATAAAAAAAGGGGGAGAAAACCTACTGATGACAAAGGGATGAAGCTAAAACATTTTTCAGAGTGAAAGCTTTATGCAAAAGAGTAAATATTGTACAATTCCACTATGTGTAGTCCTAGAACATGTAAAACTAATCTCTATTGGTAACAGGAGTTACATTGCCATCCTGAGAATCTTAATCACCTTCAAGAACATGCTACTACTCAATTTATCCAAGCCTTCACATATTCTTTCTATCCTTCAATGTCTAATTTGTCTGAAATTAGAATATAATTATAGTCTGGACTACCCATTTCAAGAAATATTCCAACAGTCTCAATGAGGGAACAAGGAGACATATGAAACACTTTCAATAATAAAGAATTTATATTTAAAAAAGACTACTAGTATGTTTTGAGGATTAAAAATGGCGGGAGAGTAGGAGGATGCTGCACAGACATGCTCCCAGGAATAAGCTGGAAATACAACTGAAATATGGAAAGGCTTCCTGAAAAATCAATAGAAAACTCACAGGATAGAAACTTGATACCCAAGGACTGAAGGTGGAGACAGCATAGAGACTGGTAGGAGGGGCGGAGGCGCCAAAGGGCTAGCCAGGCACCCACAGATGGTAACTGAAGTCCTGGAGAGACATATCAGCTGTGGTGGGGTGCCACTGAGAACTCTGGGATCTAATCCCCAATCTTAGCTCGCCAGCAGAGAGCACCAAATCTGAGGAGGGTACCCACATAACATCTAGCTGTGAAAAGCAGTGGGTTGCTGTCTGCCAGGGAGTGGCAGCTGAAAGTTCAAGCACCCTCTTGAAGGGCCAACACACAAAAATTCCCTGTGAAGCCACCCACCTTGTGCTCTGGCAGAGGGAGTGTGAAGTGGACTGGGGCTGTGATAGCAGAACCAGGACTGGGGACTCGGGGGGATAAAACTCAAAAGGCAGACACCCCAAGTTTCCTGGGCTGAGTCATTCCCTCACACAGTGGAGGACATATTTCCCACATAGACATTTGCCTTGCCTGGGGGGAAGACAGTGGACACACCCTATTGGAAAACACCTTGCCCTGAGG